CGGTCAGAAGAGGCTGTCGGATCTCCTGGGACTGGAGTTACAGATGGTTGTTAGCTGCCATTTGGGTACTGGGATTAGAACCCGGGTCTTCTGCAAGAACAACCAATGTTCTTTTTTTTTTTTTTAATTTTATTTTATGTGTATGAGTGTATTGCCTGCATGTATGTAAGTGCACCTGTGTTGTACAGTGCCTGTGGAGGACAGAAGAAGGCATTGGATCCCCTGGAACTGGAGTTACGAATGGTTGTTAGCCACCATGTAGGTGCTGGAAATCCAACCTAGGTCCTTTATAAAAGCAGTAAGTGAGCCATCTCTCCAGCCTAAGTATACCAACAAAATTTCTATCTAAATCAATTATTTATATAGTGACAACATCCCTCCCTCCCTCCCTCCCTCCCTCCCTTCCTTCCTCCCTTCCATCCTTCCTTCTTTTTGAGACAGGGTTTCTCTGTAGCCCTAGCTGGCCTGGAACTTGCTTTGTGGACCAGGCTGGCCTTTAACTCACAGAGATCTGCCAGCCTCTGTCTCCTGAGTACTGGGATTAAAGGCATGTGCCACCATACCTGGCTCCTGTTCCATTTCTTTACTGATCCTCTAGTGCACTGACTTTCTAATGATGCCTGGTCTGAATGAACCCCTCTCCCTTTCTGGTCCTCCCAGTATTCTGAAAGTCTCTTGATTTACATGATTAAGAAGGGCCACATACACTGTCACAGGTAACTACCAACATAGAGAAAGCTCTTGTGCCTTTTTCCTTTGACTAGAGTGTTGCAGGTGGTATCTGTGGAAAGCAGAGGAGCATTTCTAGCTTGTCCCTAGCCCCTGGTGGGTGCTCATTCCCACATGGCTTGTGGCCTCCCCTCAGGGCTTTTTTATTTTTGAAACAAGGTCTTATTATGTATCCTTGGGTGTCCTGGAACTTACTATATAGTCCATGCTGGCCTAGACATTACAGTAATCCTCCTGCCTCTGCTTCTTGAGTGCTGGAATTACAGGTGTGTTACCATGCTCAGCACCTTTGAGTTTCTTACGTTCTTTGTGTTGATGGGTGATTGATTTTTTTTTTTTTAAAGAAGCTCTGGCCCAAGAGTTGTTTTTTTGAAAAATATTTTATTATTTTTATTATGTGTATGAGTTTTTTGCCTGCATGTATGTAAGTGTACCCATGTCGTACAATGCCCACAGACATCAGAAGAAGGGTAGGATCCTCTGGAATTGGAGTTACAGATAGTTAACCACCATGTGGATGTTGGGAACTGAACCTGGGTCTTCTGTGAGAGCAGCCAGTGTTCTTAACTACTGAGCCATCTCTCTAGCCCCATAGCCCAGGAGTTTTGAATGAAAATGTTTAAATGATTGTGGAGGTCCTGGACAACTCTCAGCCAGGAGTTCACCTTCCCTGGAAATAAGTCAGAATTTTGAGAGCCATGGTATGGGGAAGGATGCTCTCTTACCAAAACAGAAATGCTCTTGTCTACAGAGGATTCCTGCTCAAGTGGTAGCCGAGCAACTAGGGAGTGGGGACTCAGAGCTGATGGTTCTGAGGCAGGAGTAAAAGCTTTTATTTTTATTTTATGTGTATGAGGATGGTTCATAGCCACCATGTGGGTGCTGGGAATCAAACCTGGGTCCTCCGCAAGAGCAGTCAGTGCTCTTAACAGCTGAGCCATCTCTCCAGCCCCAGTAAAAGCTTTTGAGCTATTATTTTCATGAAGCATTTGTCTCTTCTGTAGAAAACCACCACAAAAGTACCATTGACTTAATAATTGGCTTCTAAAAATAAGCATCATGTCAGCAGTGGTAATCTGAGCAGAGTTCCTGGCAAAATGAAGCAGAACTAGAAGGCTGTAGGGTTAGCTGCAGGGTGCTGGGTAATTCTGATCAGCTTTGCTCCTTGCATTCGGTGAGCTCAGTGTTCTCTCTTAACCCCTGTCATGGCTCTGGAGAGTAAAGGGAAGAGAGCCAGTGTTTCTTCTTTTTAATAGCTTCCCCACGACCACCACCAACTTTGTGCTTGGGAAGCATGCACTGTGCACTCTACACTGAGCTATACATACCACCCCCGCCACCCCCATGTTTGTTCTCATCTTAAAACACCAGGAGTACATTCCTTTACTTCTGCCTCCATAAAGTCTGTTTTCTACATGGGGCCTTGGTCAAAGCTGGCCATTTCTAGCCCAGTCTCACTGTCCCTGCATGTCTTCATGGACCCACAAACTCCCCAGGAAGGTCATATGTATTTAGTAGCTGAACTGCCTTCAGTCCGAGGCTGTGGTTGGGATTAGTTGATTACTTGAGTGCCATTCATTGCCTAAGTGGAGGAAAAAACCTGCGAACCACAGGGTTAGCTTTCTACCTTGTTTGAATTCAGTTTTGACAGCAGCTTTGTTGCCTACTTTTAAATATATAGCTCTTTCATGATTAGGCGAAGCCATTCAAACAAAGGAGCTGAAACCATATTCAGTTACAGGCAAAACAGAAATGGCTTGGGCATGGTGGCACATGCCTTTAATCCCAGCACTCTGGAGGCTGAGGCAGAGACATGCAAATCTCCATGAATTGAAGGCGGCTTGATCTATAATACTGAATTCCAGGCCAGCCAGGATCACATAGTGAGACCCTGGGGGGCAGGGGTGGGAGGGAGGAGAGGAGAGAGAGAACTTGGGAGTATTCTGTGCTGGTTGTCCCTCTTTCCCACTGGTGAAAGAACGAAGGCATCTGAGGGGTTTTTCTGGTTGTGGTATTGTCCTGATTTTCCTAGAAGGGGCTTGTGGCATTGAAGGTGGCCACAATCACAGGAGTGATTTGGTGGTATGAGTTCAGTATGGTCACGGCCTGGATAAAGGGTCTTCAAAGGGCTGTTGGAAAGTAAGTGTGTAAAGGGAGTTTTCTTTGGCTCTAGCATCATGCTTTCACTCCCTGTTTATGTGGAGACTGTCTGGCATATTAAAGTTTTAGGTTGTTTCAGAATCCTCTGCCAATTCTCCCTGATCTACTCAACCACCAGGAAGCACTGTGCTGGGATGTTCATCATGATCATTGGTCACTCATATTCAGAGATGTTTGTGTGCTCTGTGAAACAATCCTGCACCTGACAGTCCACACTGATATACTCTGTGTGTGGGTGTGTGTATGTGGTGTGTACATGTATAGAGGCCAGAGGCTGACATCAGTTGTCTTTTTTTTTTTTTTTGGTCTTTTTGAGACAGGGGCTCCCTGTAGCCCCAGCTGTCCTGGAACCACTATGTAGACCAGGCTGGCCTTGTACTCACAGAGATCCTCCTGCCTCTGCCTCCCAAGTGCTGGGATTAAAGGCGTGCGCCACCACGCCCGGCTCAGTTGTCTTTTTTAGTCACTTTCCAACTTAGTGTTTTGAGACGGGGTTTCTTACTGAACCTAGAGCTGGCCTTTTATGCTAGACTGGCTGACCAGCAAACCACCAGGGTCTGCCTGTCTCTGCCCTTTCCCCCAGCTCTGGGGTCATAGCCCTGCTTTTATGTGAGTGCAGGGGATCTGAACTCTGGTCCTCATGCTTGAGCAGCAAGCAGTTTACCCACTGAACCATCTCTCTAGCCTCAAAAATGACTGAAATCATTTTCCTGTTTCCTTTAATAACAGTGGTACAGAGTTGACTGGAAATTGGTCCAAGCCATCTTCCTTGTAAGCGTAGGATTTTTAAGTTGATCTGTGTTTAGCATTGGTTCAGATAATTTTTTTTACATTAAAAAAATTTTTTTATTTTATGTGTATGAGTGTATTGCCTGCATGTAACTGAGTGCACCCGTGTTGTGCAATGCCGAGGAGGTCAGAAGACAGCTTTGGATTCCCCTGGAACTGGAGTTAAAGATGGTTTGTAGCTGCCATGTGGGTGCTGGGAATCGAACCCAGGTCCTCTGTAAGAGCTGTCAGTGCTCTTAACTGCTGAGCCATCTCTCCAGCCCCTGGTTCAGATAATTTATCTTGGGAGGTTTGTATTCATTTCTTTTTGTAGTTGTTGTTTGTTTTTGAGGTATGGTTCACCCTGTAGTCCCAGCTGGCCTGGAACTCCCTATGTAGACCAGACCTGCCCCTGCCTCCTGAGTGATAGGTTTAAAGGCATGTACCACTATGCCCACCAGGAGGTCTGTATTCTTGAATGAGTCTTGTCTAGAAAGTGATTTGATATCTTCCTACTGGTGCCTTTACATACAAAGGATGCTTGGCATCTTTTAAATAATTTATAGATTTAATTCTCTAATAAATTAGTAATTCAAAAAGAAGGACATTTACTAATTGTAGAAAAGTTCAAGGAATAAACTGTCATGTCATAGAATCTTTGATAATCTTACCGCTTAAGCCTAGGATATAACCCTAGTTAACATTATTGTTTTTTAAAAATTTTTTAAATTTATTTTCATGTGTATGAGTGTTATGCCTGCATATGTGTAAGTGCACCCCTGTCGTGCAGTGTCCATGGAGGACAGAAGAGGGTGTCAGAACCCCTGGAACTAGAGTTACACATAGTTGTTAGCTGCCATGTGGGTGCTGGGATTGGGATCCAGGTCTTCTGCAAGAATAGCCAGTGCTCTTAACCACTGAGCCATCTCTCCATCCCCATTAACATTATTTTTTAAAGATATATTCATTATTTTTATTTTATGTGTATGAGTGTTTTGCTTGCATGTATGCAAGTGTACCACATGCATGCAGTGCCCAAGGAGGGCATTAGATCCCCTGGAACTGGAGTTACAGATGGTTGTGAACTACTATATAGATGCTAGGAACCAAACCCTAGGATGTAAATCTCTGATAATCTTACTGCCTAGAATGTAATCCTAGTTAACGTTATTTGTTTAAGATTTATTCTTTATTTTTATTTTATGTATGTGTGTGTTTTGCTTGTATGTATGCAAGTGTACCACATATATCTGGTGCCTGAGGAGGGCATTAAGTCCTCTGGAACTGGAGTTACAGATGGTTTTGAGCTACTATGTGTGGCTTAGGAACCAAATCTGGATCCTCTGCAAGAGCAACAAGTGCTGAACCATCTCTCCAACCCCCTAGTTAACATTTTTTACTTTTGTTTTGTGAGTATATGTATTCTTTTTAATCGTGATAGGCTATACTCTGTCCTCTTTTTGTTTGTCCTGTTATATGTAGCTCCCTGGCCTCTCCATCAATGGGTGTATCATAGAAATGTGATTTTGAGACAGGATGTCTGTGGGAGGTTCACTGTGGGTATCCAGGTTCTTACCCTCCTTCAGGGCTCAGCCTTTCATCTCAGCCAGTGTCTGGGAATTGCTTCCAGTGATGAATGTGTTGTCTCCAGTAGGAAAGAGTCCCTCCCTTTTGTCTTTCTGGAGACAGGGTCTTACTGTGTAGCCCAGATTGTCCCCAAACTTGTATCTTCCTCAGCTTCTCATAAAAAATTCTTCTCCCAACCCCGACTCCCAGCTGCTCATGGTTCTTATCTTAAAACACTAGGAGTGGATTCCTTTACTTCTGCCTCTTTCAAGGTAAATCTCAGGTGTCTGTCTGTCTCTCTTGTCATAAACACACACACATACAGAGAGAGAGAGAGAGAGAGAGAGAGAGAGAGAGAATGTTTGTGCATGGATACATGTGCTGTGTCTGCCCTGTCACTCACCTTATTACCTTATTCCCTTTAGACAGTGTCTCACTGTGAATCCAAGGCTCGGTGGCCAGCAAGCCCCAGCGATCCTCCTATCTCTGCACTACACAGTTCCACAGTGCTGAGTTTCCAGGTGTGCACATGGCCATGCTTGGCTTTTTATGTGGGTGCTGGGGACTTGAAGTCTGGTCCTCCTGCTTGTGCAGCAAGCCTCACACACTGAGAAATTTTTTTAGATGGGGCCCTGGCCATAGGTGGCCATTTCTAGCCCTGTCTAGCCCTGTCTGTCCCTGGATCTCTTCATGAATCACAGTGAAATGAACTGCACAACATCCCAGGTGTACAAGGCTGTTGAATGCTTCAGTCTTACTCAGAACCTGTTCATTTCTTTCTCTGCTTCATCCTTTGCCCAGTACAGAAACCAGTACTGACTCCTGGGCACCATTTCAGCTCTAGTGTTGTCTTCTGCATCATCTAGTCAGAGCTGGCTCTCCCTTCAGGGTGTCTGTAGTACTTTCTTATACACTTCTGGTTTTATTAGTAATAATTTTATTTAGGACAAGAGCTAGCGCCTTTTCTTTTTTTTCTTAACATTGTTGTCTCTTCTACAACTTATACTAGTCCCTGGCACCTTGTAGGATTTATAAAATGAATGATTGCCTTCTATGTCATTTTTCTTTTTTGTTTTTTTATGATTTATTAGGATAATACCACATGTCAGTCAACTTAAATGACAATAATAAAACAACTGACTTTTAAAAGATTGTAAAACTTACTTAATTTATTACTATTGTGTATGTGTTTGTGATATGTGTGTGAGTGTGGGCACATGTATGCCATAGTACACATGTAGAGGTCAGAGGATATCTTTGAGATTTGATTCTCTCCTTCTGCCATGGGTTCAGGGGATCAAACTCAGGTTCCTATCAGATTTTGTGGCAAGCACTTTTACCCACTGAGCCATCTCCCTAACCCAACACTTCTAACATCTATTGAGTACTTGCATGTTAAATATTTGAAGTCATTTATGTGTATTTTCTTAATTTGTGTAATAGCCCCCAGAGTTAGTTTAATCACCTTATAATCGTTGCAGCCATTTTTATAAATTGAGGAATCTGTTCAGGGTCTCGTAGATAGTAGCTGGTACAGTTGGCATTTGAACTTTTGACAGGTTGCCTAGCGAGCCTACACTGTCAGTCATTGCAGAGCAAGCCTTTTTCATGTATATTATAGTCATGTTTAAAAACGTTTGTAGGCTTCGATTACTTATTTGATGCCTGCCTCAGTACTTTGATAGCTAGAGCAAAGCAGAGGGTGCTGACCTTTATCCCTAACCAGTTAGGCAGATTTGCTGCATGGGAGATTCACTTTCTTCTGAAGTTTAACACTTGAAATGATAGAAACATCGTCACTGAATGATCTAGTATTCTTGTTCTTAGGATGGTGGGTCCTTGGATCAAGTCCTGAAGAAAGCTGGAAGAATTCCCGAACAAATTTTAGGAAAAGTTAGCATTGCGGTGAGTATGCTGTAAAGTTTTTCTTATAAATTAATGACTTGATAGGAAATAGATAAGGAATGCAGACAGGAAGCCAATAAGAGAGTTTATTTTTTAAAACAGGCTTTTCTCACTAGAAATTTTCTTATCAAGGATGACCTTGAACTTCTGATCCTCACTATCCCACTGCTGAGATTATAGGCATGCACCACCATACCTAGTTTTATGTGGTGCTAGGGATTGAACCCAGGGTCTTATGCAGGCTAGGCAAGCACTTTTCCAACTGGCTATACCTGAAGCTCTAACTTTATGTCAAAATGTGTGTCTGAAAAATAGGACAAGGTATGTGGGGAATATTCCTGTTGGTAGTACCAGAAAAGATCTTTAAAAGTTGCAGATTTAGAAAAACAAACTCTCTTTATACTTAACAATAATACTTTATAAGACAATGTAAAAAAGATAGTTGCTTGATAATGCAAATTTTTTGTTGTTGATAGATGAATTTTTATTTATTTATTTATTTATTTTGGTATTGTTGGGACAGGGTCTCCCTGTAGTCCCAGCTTGCCTGGCACTCACTGTGTAGATCAGGCTGGTCGTGGTCTTAGAGAGATCTGCCTGCCTCTGCCTCCCGAGTGTTGGGACTAAAGCTGTATACCACCACACCTGGCTAAATGAAATTTTTAAAAAAGTGATTATTTTTCTACACACCACAATTTCAGTTTTCTATTTTTACCTTTCCTTTCCTCTAGGTGATAAAAGGTCTAACGTATCTGCGGGAGAAGCATAAGATAATGCACAGAGGTGAGAAATTACTGCTAGTTGTTCCATTCTGAATAACAGCTGAAATCTGAAGGTTGTTACATCTTTTTGTGTGTGTGTCACAAGTCTTTATTAGTTTGGTGGTGGAGGCAGCAAGTCTCACCTTCCTTTTGGTCTTGGCGGGGTTTTGTTTCTATTTCTCTCTGCTGCTGTGCCTGCTGTGGATCATGCCATATGGTTTTCTAGAAAGCCCTGGCTTCATTTCTATTCCCCCAAGAGGAGGATGGCTGCTTGTTCCTGAGATAACTAGCTTTCTTTTTCCCTCTGTCCAGTGCTGCTTCTGTCTTCCCAGGGCTTGGCTTCCCCACTTAGCTCTCTTCTGCAGAAAGAGCTACCCTGTGAGCAAGATGGACAGTACCTTTGGTGGAGATTACCACTTTTCCAACCAGAAAGGGAAGACAATGGGCTTCCTGGCCCGTTGATAGTGCCTCTCCAGCAGGATAAGTATACCTGCTGTTCCTCTTGTTGACACTTTGGTGGCTTTTCTGGATTCTTCCATGGAACTGCTCCCCTGAGATAGGCTCTGGTGTTGTTCAGCACATTGTATTCTCTTTCCCCTGGGTGTCCAAAGGGAGGAGCAGTCTGTGGCTCAGCCTGGTGTATGTGGTTTCTGGACTGCTGGCCAGGCACTGAAAAAGAGGTCTGTTACCCCTCTGGGAGTGCAAGTGTTCTTCGACTTCTCTGACTGTCCTGGAATGGTCATGTGTAGGTACAGGAATGTATTTCTCCATGTTAAATACCCTTCTCCCCACTGTCTCTTCCTCTGTCCAAAGCAAGAAATTCATATTTGTGAAATGTTTATAGAATACCTGCCAAGAACAATATTAGATGAATCATGTGGAGGCTATAAAGATGTTCCGTAGATGACTCAGGAGAAAGAGACGATCTGTAAACAACTCCAGTATATGGTGGAATATAACCAACTTTTCTTATGCATGAGTCATTATCTTGCCAACTTTCAAATGAATCTGATGTGGCATATTTTATTAGTCAATTCTTTTATTGTGTCAGACTTTATATTACTTAATCAAAAGAGGGACTATGTTGGCTTGAGTCACCAGCAAGTCTGATGGAGTTCAAATGGCAGTCTTGGAACTTTGATCAGCTTGGCCCTGCTCCTTCTTATGTGGGCTTCTTTTTTAGGCAGATTTTCTTCAGCGAGAGCAGTGTGGACCTCCCCAGCCCCAGGTACATCTGGTCCTGGGTATGCTCTATTCCAGACAAAGCTCCAAGTACTCTCCCAGTCCACATCAGTGCTTGGCCTCTGGGGAGCTCTGATTCACTCTGCTGGGAATTCCTGCTCTCACCTGGACTGGTCTCTGTGCCAGGGGATGAGAGTACTGTGATGGGCCACCCTTAATGCTCACTACTGGTAGTGTGGATAGAACCTCTTGATTGGCACCCTACCAGAACTGTTGATATTTCAGGAGGAACAGATCCTGAATGGCAAGGGGGAATTTGTTAAGAGTTGAGGGGGAAGAGCTGGAGAGATGGCTCAGTGGTTAAGAACACTGGCTGTTCTTGCAGAAGACCCAGGTTCGAATCTCAGCACCCACATGGTAGCTAACAACTGTGTGCAACTCCAGTTCCAAGGAAACCAATGGCCTCATCTGTCCTCTGCAGGCATTTCATGACACAGGTGCACTTAACATACGTGCAGGCAATACATGCATACACATAAAATAAAAATAATAACAAAAAAAATTTAGGCTGGGTGTGGTGGTGCACGCCTGTAGTCCCAGAACTTGGGAGGCAGAGGCAGGCAGATCTCTGTGAGTTCAAGGCCAGCCTGGTCTACATAGTGAGTTCCAGGCCAGCTGGGGCTACTGGGAGACCCTGTCTCAAAAAAGACCAAAAAAAAAGAGTTGAGGAGAAGAAATGGATGCTGAAAACAGGCAAATTAAAAAATTAAAAGTAGGGGTAGAGGGGCTAGAGAGATGTCTCAGCAGTTTAGAGCACTTGCAGAAAACCAAATCCCAGCACCCACATGGTGGCTAACAACTGTCCATAACTCCAGTTCCAGGGATCTGGCGCCCTCTTCTGATCTCCACGGGTGCTGCATGACCCAGGTGCACTTATTATTATGTTATGCAGGCATAATAGTCATTCACATAAAATGAAAATAGTAGGGTAGGGAGGGGTATAGGGAGCATGGGTTTAGCATGCACAGGACCTTGGTTTCAGTCTTCAGCACTCAAGACAAGAAGTCAAAGATCTTCCATGACAAAAATTATTAAACCTTAGTTCCAAAAGATCAATCAACTAGCCCCCTCAAAAAAAAAAAAAAAAAAAAAAAAAAAAAAAAAAAAAAAAAAAAACAAAGAAGACACAGAGAAAACCTGCTAACAGAGGATCAAAACAACAGTGAGGCAGTTTTCAGCAGGAGTAGGCAGATGATTTGTGGGTCACATTCCACCTGTTCTCTCTAATTCTGTATGGCCAGCAAGCTAAGAGTGGTTTTCCCAAATTTTGTGACATCTGACAATTATATGCAGTTCAAAATCTAATATCCATAAAGTTTTGTGGGAACATAGCCACTGCTTTAGGGTCAAATTGGTGTGTTTGAGTGAAAGAGATGACTCAAATCCTAAAATACTTAACTTTCTAGTCCTTTACTGAAAAATATTCCTGACCTCAGTTTAGAGGAAAAATTGCCTTGGAGATAGAATTTAAGCATAAAACTCAGCTTTCAACTTATCACCATAAGTTCTTGAGGAGTGACAGCTTCACATTGTGTAGTGGATAGTACAGCTAGGAGAGAAGATAGTCTCCCTGACACTTGAGCTTAGGGTTTCATAACCAAGCTTTCTATGTAGTCTTTCCATTTCCTGTGGCAGGTCTATTTTACCCAGAGCCGAGCCAAGTGGTTCATAGGAGTTAGAGGAACGGAGGTAGGGAGGGTGCAGGGTGCAGCTAGCAAGGGATTTATGCTACTTGCCTATCGTTTTTCTCAGCCCACTCTCACTAAATAGCAAGACCTTATTTTTATCAGGACCTGAAGAAGCACTGCATGATTTAGATCCATGCAGAGCTCATGCAACTTAGCCTGTAACTTATTTCTGCATTGGAGGTACTTGCTGATAAAATGAAACAGTTCTTTGTTGTTTATTGATCTTTATTAAAAAGTTTTAATTACGTTTGTGCACGCACACATCTATTACAGGTGTGGAAATCAGAGGACAGCTTGTAGCAGTCAGTTCTCCTATCATGTGAGGCCTGGGGAAAGAACTCAGGTAGTCAGCCTTGTCACATTTGGCAGTAAGCTCTTTTACCTTCAGAACCATTTTGCTGGCCCTGAAGAACAGTTTTAAATTATTTCCTAATTTGTTTCTCTTCTCCATGTGTCAGGTGAGACAATGTGTAACTTGGCTGATCTTTATGCCCAATATTGCATTAGCAGCCTGGGCTGAGAAAGCCAGCCTGAGTTGTTTTTTTTTTTTTTTTTTTTTTTTTTTTTTTTTTTTTTTTTTCCTTTCAGTTCTAGTGAGGAGGTGGAGTGGGTCGGGGTTGCCCCAGCTGTTGGAACTCACTATGTAGACCAGGCTGGCCTTGAACTCACAGAGATCCGCCTGCCTCTGCCTCCCAAGTGCTGGGACTACAGGCATGCGCCACCACGCCTGGCCAGCCTGAGTTTTTAAGGGCACACAGAGCTGACTGTGAGCAGTGGTGGCTTCTCCCATGGGGCTGCCCTGTTGGCACGCACTCTAGAAAAGTTCTGAATGCCTAGGGTAGAGTTATGTAAAAGTGAGTCTTTCAGGCCAGGATGTGATGTGATGCTTCTGCAGAGCTTTTGTGAGAGTGTTTTCAGTTTCTAATCCCGGGTGAGCGCTGAGATTCTCTGGAGTCTCTCAGGTGTCCTGCTAACAGTCTGCAACAGTAGAGTCCTTAGCAATGTCCTGGATTTCAGCCTTTAAATTTGTGTCACTTCATTCTGACATGTCACTGATAGGCAGGCTCTGAAATGACTTGTTTTGTTTTGTCTTGTCTTATAAGCTCTTTGTAGTAGACTCATGCATAATTTGTTTCTGAGTGTCTTTTGTCCCTTGTCAGGCATTGTCTTGCCTGCCAGACCTTTTCTGGCGAAAAATCAGGGTGGCTCCTGCTTCCCCCAGCCACCTGGCCTGAGGCTGTACAGGGGCTGTGTCCTGAGCATACCTTCCTGTCCATATGTGCAGAGGCTTGTCTCCTGCTCCTTGAGTTTTAGAGAGGTTGTCCATGGCACCCACAAGGTGACCCTTACTTTGCCCACTAGGTTCATCCCATAGCTGTGGGCAAGAACTTCAAGGGGACTGTCTAGACTGCCTTGCCTTGCAGAAGGAATGAGAAAGTGTGGCTGATTTTAGCTGGAATCAGTGGGCTGCTGTTTTGGCTGGGAATGTGAATCTTGTTCTCTTTGGAGCTATCTTGTGGGGTAACCCCATAAGGATGGATTATGGCTACAGATGAGTTTGTCTCTCAGTTCCTAAGAGGCAGACAGGACAAGATGCTGGAGGAGGGAGGCTATTTCCCCTTGGGAAGTGTCACAGAGGGGTGGTATTCAAGCTAGCTTTGAAGCTGAGGTAAGAGCTGCACATGTGGTGGTGGGAAGGCTTTCCAGGTAGAAGGAAACAGGAGAATCACTCTTAGAGCCTGGAAATGTTGACTCTTTCTTTTAGGAAGTAGCACGTTGCTTCAGTTGTCTAGAATGAGGCAAGAGTCAGGAACTAAGGAATGGTTGCAGCACTGGAATGGTCTTGGCTGTTTGCTGTGTTCTGGTACTGTGGTTTATCATGGGACGAGGAGGTAGTGGAGTGTTTCTGCCTGAGGAAGTGAGGTGGGCTGGTCTCAGGATAAGGACTCCACTGCTGTGGCTAAGGCGGTCTGGGAAGGGAGAGTGGTTGCTTAGGAGTTGCTGTGGCCCAGTTAGACAGAATATAGGTCTGAGTTAGGATGGCAGCACAGTGGAGGGGCAGGAAGGGACAGATGGGAGAGCAGTGGTCAAG